TACTTCAACTCTCAGTTCCTACAATCTGCTAATAAATGAAAGGGAAAGAAAGAGATGAAAAAGGTAAATGTTGGAATTGAGCAGTTGAGAAAAAGTCCATGGTGACTCCACAATTTAGACCTGGAAGTGAAACGCTGAAGAGAATGTGCAGGTTGGTATCCCCCCTGCTTCGTCATGCCACTCCTCTGAAAAGAGAAGAAATGTTACCCTGGCTGGTGTGGCTCAGTTGGATGGAGCATGTTCCCGTGCACCAAAGGGTCTTGGGTTCAATTCCCAGTCAGGACACCTGGCCAAGTTACGGGTTTGATGCTGCTCAGGGCTCGTGCAGGAAGCAACCCATCCATGTTTTGCTCTCACATAGATGTTTCTCTCTCTCTCTCCCTCTCCCTCCTGTCTCTATAATCAATTTTTTTAAAAGGTGAGAGAATTTCAAAAATATGAAAAGGTAGTAATTATGAAAAAGTCTGTTCTAATAGTAATTTTAACTTTAAAAATAAAAGTTCTTAATTCAGAAAAAGAAACAGATCCAGAAAAAGTGAAAGAATTACTAAAAATATATTCACAGGAATGCTTGACATGGAATATTAGGGACATCGATTGGAATTAGAGAAATAGCTTTAGAAAAGATCAACAATAATCTACAAAATTGGAGTAAATTTCCAGACACACACAGAGTTGGTTAAAGGAACTTATGGGATACAAGAGTTTCAAATTGTTTTTGAAACTTTCTTTTATGCTGACTTTGCAAATGGAGTTTTAATTTCTCCAACAAAGCATTCTCTAATAAAAGTCTGTGTGGAGAAAAAATAAAATAAATAGGATTTATAAGCTGAAAAATAACACTTTACATAAGAATTGAGATTTTAGCAAAAACACAAAAACCCAGAAGCTATAATTTAGAACCATATACAATTTATTTGTAATAGCTCTTCAATTTTTTAAAATGTATTACCACTAACATAGATTTTGTTAACTTTCCACTTAAATGTTGCACATTTCAAACTGTTCAGTCAAGAAAAAGATATGCTTATAAATGAAACTTAATACAAAAAGAGGTATAGCAACCCCAAATTAATGGATGATGAACTAAAGATTTACTCAAAGTTGTGGAAGGCTGTTTTTACACATTTTCCAACTCCAGGAATATCTTGTTCACTTTACCTGGATGCTTATACCTCACAGCAATGTTTTACTGGGTGTGGTTTCTGGATCACTTGTCACTGAACCACCTGGGATGCTTTCTACAAATAGAGATGTCAACACACCATCTCCCGGAATTCTAAGCCAATGGATCTAATAAGTCCAGATATCTGAATTTTAATAATGATTTAAATAATGGCCTTAGAGACAGTAATCCATCTCTCTTCTTCACTCGACACCACTTAAACCTAAGGAGATTAACTTAATTACCTGAGCCAATTAATAGCAGAGCAAGAATGAAAACCCAGAACTGCTACCACCCAGTCCAATCTTCTTCATTCTAAATGTGCTCCAAGCCCTTTTATAACAGCTCTTCAACATACGCTGCACAGCAACCCTTCCACCTCTATCCACTGTCTGCTTGCTCGCTCTCATCACCTCAAAGCAAAGGAGGAAAACTGCGTACGGAGGAAAGAAAGTTGAAAACTGTTCGTTTGCTAGAGAGGTGTAAGTCAATTCTCTTTATTCTAGTCACTGTAAGTTATGTGGACAATAAATTCACTGTGTTAATTTTTTTTAATGAAAATAATTAAACTTGGGTGCATAGAACTAAATTATAGCCAATAAAAATTAAACAGGTTTAAATCCAACACCCCTTATATTTTTATGATATTTTTTCTATCATCATTTAAAAAACCACCAAAGCGTGTATATAAAACTTTTAGAAGTTGCATCAAACTATTTTATTATGTTTTAGTGCTTTTCCTAAAACACTCTTAAAATCCTGTGCATTCAGGAGAAAGACTCCTTGCCCAGTCAGTGTAGCTCAGTGGTTGAGCGTCGACCCATGCACCAGGAGAAAGACTCCTTATTTGGCATGTCACCCAAATTCTTCACACAATTTGCTAAACCATATGAGCAAACCAATGGGAAACTTTCCTCTGCGGGAACAGCATACACTAGGATATAAATAAATAAAACTGGAATAGTATGTCAAGGCCTAAACACAGAAGGCTCTCCTTAATTTATCCATCCAGTCTTTAGCCAACTAGTTCTTTAAACCAAGTCCCTTAAGACTTGGCTCCATACAATATGATTAATATGATGTAGTTTTTTAAAAGAATACATATACAAACAATAGTATGTACCTTGTAACGGTGTGTGTGTGTGTACATTTTATATATGTGTGTGCGCGTGTGTGTGCATGTGTGTGTGCGTGTGTGTGTGCACATGTGTGTATGTTAATGCATTAAAAAGGACTTGAAAAATACATACATAAAAAATAGATTTATTTCTCAAAAGATTAGGAGGGGTCCAATCTTAGCACTTTAATTTTAAGGAGAATATACTCATTACTTGTGTACATGAAAGTGTCTGAATTCTCAGACCTCATTAGATGCCCATTTTCTGCACCTCTCTGTCACTCCTATGCACGTCCGACAGCACAGAGCTCACCATTGATCATAAACACTGCTCTTTTCTGACTTTTCCTCCTGAAAGACTTGGTCCTCCAGTAAGCGCAGCATTTTCAGAGTGCCTGCCATGGTATAATGCTTACTGAATGCACACTGTGAACCTTCCAGGCAACTAAATTATTCAAGGAGAGAATCTCAGTCTGTTTCTAAAAGGTCACAGGCCACAAATTTTCTTTTCAACATACACTTTAAAAAGATAGTTTGGTACAGCAGCTAAGAAGCTAGGCTTAGGTACAAAGTTCTGGTTTTAAATTAAACTCTGCATAATGAACTGTAATCCTTAACAAGTTACTTAATCCTCATTTTCCTCAGCTATAAAACATGAATAAGAATATCGTCCTCCCATATTTGTGGGGAAGATTAAAGGGAATGTTTATAAATTAATTAGCACAGTAGCTGCTACTCCAAAAATGGTAGTCATTATTATCCTTTTTATGCTCAAATACTAACATTAAAACAAAAATTTCATACATTTCTTGCTAATCAGAAAATATCAATACAACCTTAAAAACATTCTACTTTACTTCTAGAGAATAACAAACTCAGACAATTTAACTAATGTAAGCAATTAAACTAATAATCTGAAGCTCATCAGGTCTGCACAAGTAAAAGATGAATACCTCAATTATTCTGTGGTATTCATTCAACAGAGTAACTTCCATACTGATACATGCAAATTATGCACTTTTAACTGCCATTCCAATGAGGAAAGTTTTAATTATCTGTACGCCACTATTCTTGAGGAATATGCTAACTATCCGAGTTACCAATATGCCAGCCATGTTCAAATGATACTGTCCACAGTTAACTGGCCAAGAAATCTCATCCAAAAATGTAATGAGTAAGTTCACACCGGAGTTCAGAGGACAAATGCCTTAGATAAAGATCTATAGTTAACTTTTTTGAAACTACTGTTTGTTTTGAGTAGATTCCTCTTTTTTTGTTATGAAAATAGTCAGCATTCATATTTCACCATATCATAACCCATTACACTGTATTATGAAATGAGTTCATTTTAGATCAGCTATCCAAATCATACCATTTAATTCCACAAAGAATTAGGAAGCATTTAATATACTCTAAACTGAAAGACTGAGTAGGAATTAATTCCCAAAAAGGGGTAAGGGATTTTCTTACACATATTAAAAGCAAGATATGTTCGCCCTGGCCGGTTTGGCTCAGCGGTTAGAGTGTCGGCCTGCGGTCCGGAGAGACCCGGGTTCGGTTCCCGCTAAGGGCACGTACCTCGGTTGCAGTTTGTCCCCGGCCCTGGTCGGCTGTGCGGGTGGCAGCCACTTGATGTGTTCCTTTCACATCGATGTTTCTCTCTCTCTGTTCCTCTCTCTCCCTCCCACTCTACCTGAACAAAAAAAAATGGGAAAATGTTCTCGGGTGAGGATAAAAAAAAAAAAGCAAGATATGTTCGAAAACAGGAAGTCTACTGAATCAAACACAGTTAATGAAATTTATTAACATTTCATTTTAACATCAGTCTCTCAAAACATTTAAATTTTCTATTGAGTCCTTCGATATTAACCAAATTCAATAAGTTACACCTATTTTAATTATATATGTGATATGTGTGTATTTATGTGCATGTGTATATATCAATCACTTTCCAGTAGTAAATTATTTATCCCTACTAGCAACATATCTGCTTTATAAAAAAAAAGCCAAAGTGCTGTAAATTCAAGAAAATATGTGCTTACTAGATAATTTCCTATCACAAAAACAAAAGCACAGCAGGTACAGAAATGGGCCTATTTCATCAACAGCTGGAATGTTTAATTTGTTCTTAATTCCTTTCTCCTGTAGTTTTATAATGTTACTTCAGCTAAGGAACACTTTTCACAAATTATTTTCAGTGATGCTATTCCTCAGTCCCTTAAAAAGGTGATGTCTAGCCTCGAATCTGATGTGGATTACTTCTTTGCTGCTGAGTGAGCTGAGAACATTCAACAGAACAACTCTCTTTGTTACATGCAGTGGAGTACTCCAGGCAAAAGCAAGACCCTAAATAAAAACACAAATAAGCCCTGGCCGGTTTGGCTCAGCGGTTAGAGTGTCGGCCTGCGGTCCTGAGAGACCCGGGTTTGGTTCCCGCTAAGGGCATGTACCTCGGTTGCAGTTTGTCCCCGGCCCTGGTCGGTCGTGCGGGTGGCAGCCACTCGATGTGTCCCTTTCACGTCGATGTTTCTCTCTCTCTTTCTCTCTCTCTTCCTCTCTCTCCCTCCCACTCTATCTGTACAAAAATGGAAAAATGTCCTCGGATGAGGATAAAAAAATAAAAATAAAAATAAAAATAAAAACACAAATAAGTCTAACAAACTCAGCTGCTAACGTAATCAAGGAACTGCAATTTGCATTCGCAGAAACATGACTTACCTGTTCGTTTTTGCAAAGCCACACACTGCTTCCACTTAATGCAGTAAAAATTTTGGCTTTATACCCTCTCAATTCGAGATATCCACATTTCTCAGGTGTGACAGGTGCTTGAGACTTTGAGGAAGGGGACTGTGATTTCAGTGCATTTAACAGTATGCTGGTCCACTCATTTCTCTCCTCTGAAAACAGACAGGAGAAAAGACATGTATTCATACTTACACAAATCATACACACATAGGAACATGAACAAGGGATCTACTCTCTCTACAACAGATAATTCAAAGATTCCTTTCCACAACCACACTTAAATGCTCCTGCAGGCAGGGCCAATACCCAGTTCTGTAAGGAAAAGAAAATCACACACCCTACTCAGCTAACCTGGAACCAGGAACACTGGCTCCGCCTTGGAGCTTATTAGAAAGGCTCGCTCTCAGACCCCCAGACACGGTGAATCAGAATCTTCCTTTTTAAAAGATCCCCACGTGTCCATGTTCACGTTTAAGAAGCAGTCTTTCAGGTTATTCGTGAGGCTTTTCTCTTTGAACAGAAGAAAGTAATCATGTGACCAAATAGTTAGCATATTGTAGTCAGCAATTAAGTTACTCAATTGCCCAGAGAAATCTTACTTTCTGTCACTCAGAACATAAGCTACTCACCCAGTCCATTCTCACCACAGTCACTCACAAAAGCATCTTCATTTGGCCAATTAAAATTTGGGTCTCCCACAAAATCTAAGTGACCTTCATCTCTGTACAACACACTGTTATAGGCACAGGAATTCAATTTATCCCCAAAGAGCAACCAGAGATACAAGTCACATGAGATATGAACACAGAATACCATGTCATACAAGTGGTATCAAAAAATTTAGCCCTGGCCGGTTTGGCTCAGCGGTTAGAGCGTCGGCCTGCGGTCCAGAGACCCGGGTTCGGTTCCCGCTAAGGGTGCGTACCTCGGTTGCAGTTTGTCCCCGGCCCTGGTCGGTCGTGCGGGTGGCAGCCACTCGATGTGTCCCTTTCACATCGATGTTTCTCTCTCTCTCTCTCTGTTCCTCTCTCTCCCTCCCGCTCTACCTGAACAAAAAATGGAAAAACGTCCTCGAGTGAGGATAAAAAAAAAAAAAAATGTCAATTTAATGAAGCTAAGTGATTTGCTGAAGGTCATACAGCAGGTTAGTAATAGAATTAAGAGCATCAAATGTTTCCACTGTCAGACCATTGTCCCTGGCACTGTGGAATGGAGTAGTATTTGTGCAAGGTCTTGGAAATGAAGAGCGACCGAAAAGACAAAGCTGAGGTTTGGGGAAAAAGAGAGAAAAGTAGAACTTTATAACTGTAAAGCGAGGAAAACACAAGAACAAAGGCAGAAAGAATTAAGATCTGTTCAAGGACTAACTCACAGATGAACATATTTGTCATTTTAAACACACACGGAAATAATGGGAAGTAGGGTTAGAGGTTCCCCAGTACTGAGGCAAGTCATTTCGTCTTTATTACAGAGGCAGAGTAAAACCACTTCAGGATTCTTAGCAAGGAAGGGGTATGATTAGGATGACAATAGGTAGACCAAAAGGGAGCTTGGAGATTCAGAAATGAGGCAAGAGAGACTTAAAAGCACAATGAAAATGGAAACAAAAGAACACACAAAGAGTCAAGACATTAAGAGGAGTAAAAAGTAGCTGAGGCTGTGAATATGTTTGACAGGTGTGCACTAAAATATTAAATTACTCAGAATAACAGGTACCTTGATATCAAGAATTGATCAAAGAAGGCAGAAAATTCCATTTTATTAACAGAACTACTTTAGGTTCTCAGTGTGTGTGAGCACCTAGAAAGACTGACAGCAACATGTAAATGAACACAGCTTATAAGAGAGAAGGTCGTACATCAATGTTTAGTGTAAAAGAAGAAGAAACAGACAAACCTTGCATTACAACTGTATCTATCTATGAGGTTGAAAAATGGGTTAGGAAAAAAAAAATGGAGATGTTGATACCAAAGCAAAAGGAAAAAACAAAACAGAGTGAATTCCAGGTAAAAAATTTTTTGAAGAAGAAAAAAGATATTCTTTCCCAAAGCCTAGGAACCTGGACATTATCTCAGATCCTTCTAAGATTGGTCTGGCCAGAATAACTTCATAATAAACTCAAATAAGTTTCCACATCAGACTTGCTCACATTAAAACATGAATCCAATGTTATTTCGCAATGTGAGCCTTAATTTTAAACTATCTTCACATCTGCTCACCTTCAAGACTACTAAAAGCAGTAAGTTGTGTCTTTAATGACCAAAGCCAAAGCATTTATTAAACACTCACTCAAGCCCGGCCAGTGTGGCTCACTGGTTGAGCGTCAACCCATGCAACCAAGAGGTCGCTAGTTTGATTCCCAGTCAGGGCACATGCCCAAGTTGTGGGCTCAATCCCCAGTGAGGGGGCATGTAGGAGGCAGCCAGTAGATGTTCTCTTTCATCAATATTTCTATCTCTCTCTCTCCCTTTCCCTTTCCCTCTCTCTAAAATCAATAGAGAAAACTTAAAAAGAAAACTCACTCAACAATATTTATTGCAGGTGCTACATAATCCCCAGGTAGTAGTGCTTGTACCTATATATCAGGAAAAAATATTTACTGAACTTCCCCAGCATCGTTATAAAGTAAAAGATGTGAAAATATTCAAGTAACTAAGTCAATGTCAACATGTAGCAGCTACTGTGCATTTTACATCTGCATAAACAGATCCAGACTGCGTTCAGATCATTTATTACATTTTCAGTAACAAGAGAGCCTCCACTTCACTCGGTTATTACTTGTGATCATTAGTTTCACACATGATATTCCTGTCAAGTAAATGGTATATAATGTTTTTCTATGTTTGTTTATGTTAATCCACATAAATCACTGAGTTTGAAATGTTGGTTATATTTTAATGTACTGGGCCAAAGTGTTTGTGGCTTCTAGATTACTATTAGCATAGATCTCAGCGTCTGGAAATAATTTGAAACAGGCAATTGCATCTGTTGGACTTAAGCCTATTATGGCTGCATCTCAACAAACGGTTCCCTTATAGCCTAAAAGAATTATCCAGCTCCTAAGGGCCTCATCTACTAATAGGAAGTAAACAGTCATGAAGAAGATTAGGAATTAATAGTAACATTCACTTTATTCTTAATAACCTATGCCAGTGGAGATAAATAATGATACAGATAATTCAAACACAATAAAATAGATTACAAGTTGCATTTGGGATTTGGCTGTGCAATGCGTGCATCCTTAGACACGGGAAATATGCTTTGATAAGTCACAATATTCCCAAACAAATAAGGATTCTTCCCTTGGGCAAAGCAAGATGCTATGCTGGCTTTTGCCAGCTCTTCACACCAATGAACTTTTATTCTTTCCAATAACAAATATTTATTGAGTATCTACGCACCATTCCTTCTGAGAACATGCTCTGACCTAGACAGGGCTTTGCTCCAAGTAGAACATTTCAGATTGGAGAAAGAAAGGGGGTGCAAAAGCACCACTTTCCTGTAATTATGCTACAATGTAAATGAAAGGTAACAGCAATCCCCTCAAACCTCAAATTAGTTCTTGAGGTGTTCAGGAATGCCAACTAAGGTATAACACTCAACAAAGGACATTTTTTTTTTAAATTCAACAGGAGACACTATTATCTAGACTACAGGATTTGGCAGTAGGCATAAATATTAGTAAGAAAGGATTGGTTACACTAAGTATTACTATGCAAGGGCTGTGTGACAGATTAAAAACAGAATCTAACCAAGTCTAGATGGACCCTTACTTTTGATATAATCTGATACAATATTAAAAATCCCTTAGTATAACTCATGATCGATTTTATACAAGAAGTACTGCACACCAGGCTTGTTCTTGAAACCAACAACTATTCATTCATACACGTGTTTACTGAGTGCCTCCCACATTCAAAAACCTATTCTGAAAACCAGGAGTGGAAGAGTGACCAAGACAGACAGACCAAGGCAATACTCTCCTGAAGTTCACAGTCTGGTGACGAGAGCAAGGGAATAACACCACACAGAAAAGCGTACTGCACGCTGAGAAGTGCAACAGCATGGAATGAAGAGCGAGACGAGGCACCGAAGCGGCGGGCAGAGCAGCCTGAGCAGGTGACGGTGGGGCCAAAGCTTCAAGGCAGTGGAAGTAACAGAGCAAGCCAGGAGGACGGCTGGAGGAAGAGCATTCTGGGACTAAAACCAACAAAACAACCACCAAGTGTTAGGGCCCCAAGGCAACCAACCGCAGGTTTGCAAGTTAGGAAGAGCACAGACAGAGATAGGGACAGAGAGACCAGGGCCAGCCTATGGGGGTCTCTGGGACATCCTAGTGACTCTCCTCTCAGCGAGACAGAATACAGCGGCGCATCTGAAGTAGACTGACGTGACCTGGCTTTCTTGACGGCTTGCTGACAGCTGCAGGGAAAGTAGGGGTGCAGCCGATCAGGGGAGGCTGCTGCAATGCTCCAGACAGAACTGGTGGCTTGTGGAGAGGTGGTGGTGGAGGTGCTGAGAACTGGTCTGCATACAGACATATTCCCAAAGTCAAACTGGTAAGATTTGCCGACGGACTGGATGGAGGGGAGAAAGACAGGAGAAGGACTCCACAGCTTGTGGCCCATTATACGATGTGAAGCCTATCAAAGGACGCATCAGAGAACTTTTAATCCCCTGGCTCTCCCTCCAGGGAGTAAATGTGCCATGCCCTGCTTCTGAACCAATGACAATTTCAAAACAGAGAAGTCTGCTAACCAAAAAACAACTAAGGGGAATTACATTTTGTATCCCAAGTGCTCTTTAAAAAGAAAAGGAGGGAGCCCAGCTGATGTGGCTCAGTTGACTGAGCATCGCCCCATGGACTGAGAGGTCCTGATTTGATTCTGGTCAGGGCGCATGCCCAGGGTTGTGGGCTTGATCCCCAGTAGGGGGCGTGCAGGAGGCAGCCAATTGATGTTTCTCTTTCACAATGATGTTTCTATGTCCCTCTCTCCCATTCTCTAAAAAATCAATAAAAACAGCAGGGGGCGAGGGGAGCTGTGCAGTATCACGGCGACCACTGGAGGGCAGTGTGATGTAGTCTAGAAACAGTTGGAAAGACACTTCCTGTGGCCCAGGGGTCCAGAATTGGCTAAGGTGGACAGGGACATGGGACCTGCAGCTGAGAGCCAGTGCCACCAACGGCCTGGGAGTGGGAATGACCACTTAGAATTCTGAAGGCCTCTTTTAACTAAGAGGACTGGCCACCCACTCAAACAGCACCCGCTTTTGGAAGTAAGACATCTGTATGTGTGACCAGAGGTGCCAAGGGAATCAAGCCTAAATGAAGAGATCATTAGCTGTTATGACCAATTCCAGTGGTTCTGCTTGAGGACAAAAAGAGTCAGACTAAATTTTCTACATGAGGAAGAGCATTTTGAAATGGTATTATTTCCATATAATTCACCTCAACTAAGAGAATAACAATATTGCACTTGGCAACCTGAGGGAATTGAAGTCTTTGAAAATGTGTGGGGAAAAGATGCCAAGCTGTAACCTGTCTTAGCAGTGGGCATGGAGCAGTTTAGAAACAGTGACACTGGTTTCAGGGGAGACAAAGAGGAGCTGCTCTATATGGGTCATTCAGAATCTTTCTGCCCGTGATAACGAATCCATCTCTGTTAGGTCTGAAACTATGTCCTCCTTCTGTTCTCAACGTTGGTCTTGCATGATGAACGGATTGAAGCAAAGTTAAATTTGGCTTAAACTTCATTCAGTCAAATATTTCATATGATTGTTTCTCAGTTCCCACAAATAAAAAATAATCATTTGTACACATGGAAGGAAAAAGATAACACTTAATAAAACATACTTAGTGTCTTGTTGACAGTTCCATACTAAATATATGGACACACATATACCATTTATCTACATATATGTAAACACACACACACACACACACTGCATCCACTTATTTTTTAAAATGTGATTTGTAAAATGACTTTCAATGAAAGTAACTTATTCAGTAATTCAACGTGAATAGAGTCTCCATTTTCACTAAAACAGTATTTTCATGCTTTTAAAAATTAAAGACCTAAAATTTATTTAACAAATAATTTATATCAAAGTTAATGAAATTCTTATACTAAGTTGACATCACAAAGATGCACTATGTATCACAGAAGGATTCAATGGTCAATTATAAACATGTGTGGGTTGATACATTTTACTTAAAATGTGTGTGTTTAACTTTTAACTGCAGCATGTAAATATGGCTAAGCAGATTTTCACACAATTTGGAAACTTATTGGTACATCTATCTTAAAATGCAGGCCGTGTGGCATATGTGAAACTCACTCTGCCAGGCCAAGGGGAAGGTGACAAGCACCTCGAAGAAACAGACAGTCACCTCTGGGGCAAGGGAAACCAAAGCAGAAGGAAAGATCACCATGAGACCCAGTCAAGAGTAGCAACGCCATGTGTTTTAAGAAACAGCCTAAGAGAAAACTGTGACTTCAAATACAAGTTCCATATCAAGTATTACAACTGTGGATAATGTGTGGAATTTTAGGCAATGCATTACAAAACATGGCTTGTCACATAAGCAGCAGGTCAAATAACATGCTCTAGGACAGGTGTTGGCAAACTTTCTGTAAAGGGCCAGATAGCAATTATCTTAGGCTTACCTGACCATACAGTCTGTGTTGCCAATACTCAATACTGCCACCGAGGCACAAAACAGCCGTAACATCAGATGTCAATGAATGACAGTGGTTGTGATCTAACAAGATTTTCTTTACACAAGCCACAGTGAGCCAGATTTAGGCTGCAGGACACATTGTGTCAACCTTTGCTCTGGGCTAAACCTCTCAACATTTTTTTAACAGCAAGTAAGAAACACGTTTTATTTCTTTTTATCCTCACCCGAAGACATTTTTCCATTTTTTGTTCAGATAGAGTGGGGGCAGGGGGAACATCGACATGAAAGGGACACATCAAGTGGCTGCCTCCCGCATGACCCAACCAGAGCTGGGGACAAACTACAACCGAGGTACGTGTCCTCAGTGGGAACCAAACCCGGGTCTTTCTGGACTGCAGGCCGACACTCTACCCGCTGAGCCAAACCCGTCAGGGCAAGAAACACGTTTTACTTATGTGTGTGCAACATACGCATCGGTATGTTTCACAATACATTACTTACACTTACTAGAAGTGATGTACTTTGGTGTTTCTCACTCTCTTTTATGTTTGTTAGGGTCTTTGTTTGGATTGGGGGAAACTTTTTGGGGGTTCCATCAGAAACCACTAAGTTGATCTCACAAGTGGATACTGAGTCAGTTGGACAAAAGCTGCTCCAGTGTCAACGCAGCTGGACTCACTCAGTTACTGATTATCCCAAGCTATACAGGAAGCTTTCTAGGAACAGATAATATTTACTGAATGTTTTCTACATGCCATGCTCAAGAGTATGTTCTAGAAATCTAGCAGTTTCAGAAGGATAAATATTGCTCCATAATAGTTAACACTGTTGCTTATAAAAGGTGGGTGCTCATATGTGTAAAATGGAATAACTATAATACCTACATACATCATAAAACTTCTGTGAAAATGAAGCATTTTGATCATCTGGCACACATCAAGTAAGTTTTCCATATCACCACTATTCAAATAGTTAAGTACCAAGCAGTTAACATAGTTGAGTTATAATCTATACTAATAGTGGGCTTTAAAATAAGTTAAAGTGCTATTTAATTCATCAAGATGACCTTACCCATATTATTTTAAAGTAGTGACGTTTATTAGTAATGACAGTATTGGCAGTCAGTCAAAATACACAACAGAAAACTTTTAACTCCCCTGGCCGTCCCTCCCTCTCCACCACCCAAAACATCAGAAAAGGTTTAAAGGTTTGGACTCCATCCCCAAACCATCTTTCGATCAATTTCACTATCACATGACCCATAGCAGATGATGCAGGTGAAAAGATTCAGGAAAAAGAAAAGATGCTGCAAAACCTGTTGGATGATTACCATGCCTGTGTGTTCAGTAAAACCTGCCGTAAAACCAACCTTTATTAGTTAGAAAAATTGACTTTGCATATTAAATAACTATTTTGCATTATTATCTATAAGAGCGGAGATGACTGTCTACTTTTTTCACCACTATGTATCCAGAATTTAGAAGAGTTCTCAACACTTAGATTCTCACTAAGTATTAGCTGCATGTAAGAACAGTGAATAAATACTTGTCAACTTGTCTATGGCATTCAAAAAATTAATACAAAAGGTAAATTATTTAAAGGTAACATATTTAAAGATTTTTAACATTTCTAGCTTGACTGGTGTATTAATCTGAATGGTCAAAAATTAATAAATATCTGTGAGTGTTTTTATAGGGGTACAGAAATAATCTTACCTTCTTTTTCTACTTTAAAAACAAAAGTTCTTTGTGTTGTAACAACCTCAAATTTGTTGTCTCTTTGAACTCGTACTGCAGATATAGCAGAAAGGGGAATTATTCCTTTTGAAAACTTCTCCTATATTGGTTAGAAAAAAAGAAACACAAAAGAAGGCAGATTAAAATTCTCTTGACCTTACTGGGGAAAAAAGAATGGCACACATGACCAAGTGCTTCTCTTTCACGATTTCAATCTAAGCTCTAAATGACATCTAAACAGTATATAGCCTCATACATACTTAATATTCCCAGAAAAGAAAATATTATATGTTCCTTTCATGTAAAATGTCTTCAATCGTCTCTATATCTAGAATTAAAAGGCAAAGAATCAAACACAAACAAGTATTCTAGGTCAGTAATATATATGTATGTGTGTATACACACACACACACAGCTCCAAAAAACAGCAGTATGTTCTTTAAAACAATCTGGACAAAATGATTCCATGGTGTTTGCAGGCATCTGCTGGCCGTAACAGGTACTGTAACTAAACCATTTCAAAGCGACTGCTCTTACATATTATGAACGACAAGAATATATCTAAGAAACCAAACTGCTGGATTATCAATTTTTCATATTACTCAATGCTCTGATGATGACCATCTACTCTCACAACTGTATCACCTTACTTTTTATTCCCCAATGACAAAAGAATGAAAAAATATGGATGTAGCTGTCTGCAATTGATATATACAGATCATAATTTTGCTCAAGAGGGTCATTCTTAAGACTCTTGATAACTCTGTTTTCATTTACCAGGACCCTCTCTAACCATTCGGTATAATGACCACCCCACAAATTCAGCTATTTACTAAGGGTATAATGTTTTCTGGGTCCTGTGCTGGCAAGAAAAGTCCAGAAGAATATACTAAACCATTCCACGTAGAGAAGCCAAGGTCATATTCCCCCCAGGGGTAAACTGCCATACATCACAGACAGATACAGGACAGTCAAGTAAGGCACAGTCACTCTCAGCAACATGGCATCCCCCTTGGGAGGCTTCTCCTCTGCTAGCTGAGAAGATACATTATGCCATCATGGTCTTTTCCTGTTTTCTGACAGCTTCTTCTTCTCTACAGCCTCTGCTCCAATCTCCCATCCTTTTATGCATCCATCAAAACCCCACCAAAATGGAAAGTCATATCTGAACTGGGATTTAGGAAGAGTGGGCAACCTCTCGGAAAAAGGAGAGGGATGTCGAAAAATGAGTAATTACAAAGTAACTTATTCTTCTCATTATTTTCCTTTTTTTAAAAACCGTCCTTCCTTACGAAAGAAAATCTCTTCTTGCTATTCCAACAACCAATTGTATGCAGAGAATTCTAAAGCCCGCCCCCTTCTTTCCTTATCCATTTCAGCCATCTCCACTCCCATATTTCCAGTCATCGACAGTGCACAGAACTGTCCCATCAGCACCTCAAGTTTCAAAACGCAAGTTATCTCCTCAAAAATGTACCCTCCCTCTAGATCTATCCATTCAAATGTTACTCTTGTAGCCAGTCTTAAAGGAACAGTCTCGGGCCTGCGCTGACTTGGGGCTCTCCCTTCAGCTACCGTGTCAACTTGTCTCCTGCCACTTGCACCTCAGTCACATTAACCTTCTTGAGGTCCACTAGACACGGTGTTTCTGCCCAATCCAGTGCCTTTGCATACTCGGTTTATTCTGCAAGGAGTGTTTTACTTTTACATGTATTGTTAAATTAAATGTATTGGGGTGACATTGGTTAACAGGATCATGTAGGTCTCAAGGGTACAATTCTATGAAAAATGACCTACATGTTGCATTGTGTGCCCACCACCCAGTCAAACCTTCTTCAATCACCATATATTTGACCCCCTCTACCCTTTACTACCCGCACCCCCCTTCCCTCTGGTAACCACCACACTGCTGTCTGTGTCTACAAGGTTTTGTTCATCTTGTTTGTTCATTTGTTGCTTTCAGTTTTATATCCCGCATACGTGATATCACATGGTACTTCACCTTTTCTGTCTGGATTATTTCATAAGGACTGTTTTTCATCCCCAACTTCACACAGTGAAGGATGCTTCTAAAATGTTCATGTTTCAACATATGATATGCTTCTGAAGAAAGCCTTTCTGACCAGCCTCTTCTCTCTGTCCCTCATCCTTACCCAGGCAGATTACCCTAATCTAAGCTAATAGCAACCAGTACTTTTCCTTTATAACAATTACTAAATACAACTTAAATGAAGATTTTTATATTTACTCTATGATCATTTGGTGAATACAGTCTCCCCCGATAGACTGTATTCCTCACCACCATTCACATAATCAGTATTGTGTAACCATTTTCTGACTGAATGAATTCAATGTCCAGTCACAATTATATCGAACTCTGACAGCTCATTTTAAAGATTTTTCTAAATCCCTCCTTTACACAGCATGGGCCTGCAGAGCCTACTCCTGGAGAACGAACGCCTGAGTCCCACAGCCGCTCCGCCTCCCGACTTCCAGCCTCTTTTCCCTCTCACTTTCCTTGCATCTTGTATGTCATGTTACAGAGAAAATAAAAGATTCACAGAGGAGGGTGAAAAAATGGGTCTTGACATTCACACAGGATTTTGATGGAGGACAATGGCCAGGAAGGTTGAGAGGAAAGAGCAAAACCACGGACGTGAAAAAAGGAAAATACATGCTCCAGTGTCCCACCGTGTGTGTCCAGACACTGCTGAAAAGGTCATTGCCAAGAAATAAATGAAATGACTCACTGTACCAGCGAAACTCAATAAATGGGTTACAGTGGCAATACCAACAATGCTAGATCACTATGTGCTCCAGGACTGGGGGGACAACCTAAGACCTGGGAAAGGGCACAGCACCTGGGGGACGGGGTGAGGGCCTCTCTAGCTGGAAGGGGCTGAGACTAAACAGAAAGCTACAATGTGCAAAACTTACTCTTTATCCCTTAGGTGATCCATTCTCAAATTGTAGTTTGCCTAAGAATTAAGAGGAGCTTATACAATAATATTTGTAGTGAGATAAGTAACTATTAGTTGAGTAAAATGTTAACCCATTAACCATTAACCCATTTTTCAGTATAGAAAAATCAAGTAGCATTGTGTGCCTACCACAAAAAAAAAAATCAAGAAGATTCTTTTCCTTTCTCCAAATCTCTTTTTTGGGGGGGCGCAGTTATGGAGAGTAAAATTCCCACTCTTTTTTTTTTTTAAATACGTTTTTATTGATATTTTAGAGAGAGAGAGAGAGAAACATTGATGTGAAAGAAAAACATGGATCGGCTGCCTCCTGCATGCCCCCTACTGGGGATCGAGCCCATAACCCAGGCATGTGCCCTAACCAGGAATCGAATGCAGACCGTTCAGCTCAGTCCATGGGACAACGATGTTCAATCCACTGAGCCACACCAGCCGGGCCCTCCAAATCTCTTTTAAAGAGATTAAAAAACAAGTCCTTTAAAAAAATAACAACTCACCTACATGCCTATAGTAATTAGCTTATATTTAACAAGTATTTATAGAACAGTAATAGAAAAACAATTCTCCAGAAGTGATCAAAATGTACTTAACAAGCTAAATACTGTGTCGCTTTAACCTGAGGAAGTTGTAGTTTCTCTAATGGTTCATTTATAATCTATCATGAGATGATTACATAATAAATCTCCTAAATTTTAACACTGTTGAGCTGATTTTACCTTTCTCTTCAAACGAACACAATAAAGACAATAGAGAAAAAACAACAACTCAATGATAACAGGCTCAAAATGACTATGTTTTTCAGAGTGTAAAATTTTCCTTAAGGAAAGAAATTTTAAAGCATCCCCTGAGCCTGTAACACACAGATATCTAGGTCAAGTCTGTCATTTATCTACCACTTTCAGACAATGAAACGACCACAGGGCAATTCTGCCCACAGCTGAGTGAGAATGGGGGTGAGCTCGAATTCTTGGCAGGTGATAAGATATCAAGGCTATTGGGATGTTGCCATTTTCAGTAACACAATGAAAAGTCCTCGCAGAGCCATGATTGAGCAGCGCTGAGGAAAGTGGAAGGGAAGCAGGGAAACAGGCAGCTCTGCACACTGCCTCCAGAAGCCCAACTACATGTCCACAGGCCACATTTACACAATGAAAGCCCACCTGCCCGGCGCACATGACCACTAAAACCGCACACCTGCTGACACAGCGGCAAAGGCTGCACCTGTGCCTTCTGTTCCCTGGCCTTGAAGTATCCTCTTCCCACCTGGCTGGCGTGGCTCAGTTAGTTGGGCACTGTCCCTTGCACTGAGAGGTTCCTGTTTGATTCCCGGTCAGAGTACGTACCTGAGTTGCAGGCTCGATCCCTGACAGGGGGCATGCAGGAGGCAGCCAAATGATGTTTCTTTCACACAGATGTCTGTCTGTCTCTCTCTCTTTCTTCTCTCTTTCTCTCTCTCTCTCTCTCTCTCTCTCTCTCTCTCTCTAAAAGTCAATTAAAAAAAAATACCCTCTTCCCAGTCCACCACTTTTACCAGAAAGGCCTAAACAAACACTGTCTTCTATTAGAAAATATCCATCCGGAAGATAGCAGCAGGCAGGACCAGAGGGAGGCAGAGGGGGGGTGAGTGTGTGAGAGACTGAGCAAGTGTGTGAGACAGTGTGAGTGGGCGTGAGTGTGGACAACCAACCTGGAGCAGTGCAGAGACGCGGGGCAGAGGGTTCCTGGGCTGTGGACAGAAAGCAGCCAGCTACCGCGGTAAGCAGCCCATCAGCGAGCTTCCCCCTGCACAGTGGGAAGCCCTGCCATTTTGGAAGATCCCTGGTCTTCCCTAGGAGGAGGAAGCAGAGCGAGGCTAGGGCCGAGCGACCTGAGTCCACCAGAGCAACTTGCACCATCGGACCAGTGGACCTCACTGGGTCAACGTGGACTAGCACACAGTAGTGGCACTAGCGAGGTGCCTGCTGCAGTAGCCACAACCAGTCGGGAGCCGAGCACCATCCTTCACAGCAGCAGCCTGATGGGAGCCCAGCACCTTCCTCCACAGCAGCAGTGACTGGTCGGGAGTGGAGCCCCACAGCAGCTGAGGCTCGGGAGCTTAGACACACCCTCAGCTGCAGAGGCT